ATTTTAAACCTTTTAATCATATAAAACCCATATTAACCTTTTTAAAACCCATATAAAAACCATTTTAACCATATTAATCATATAAAAAACCATTTTAAACCATATACCCCAAATTTAATTAAAACCCTTTAAAAAAACCATACTAACCAAAATTAAAATCAATAAAACCCAAATTTTAAAAACCATTTAACCATATAAAACCCATATTAACCATTTTAACCCATTAAAACCATTTTAAAGCAATTAACCCAATTAAAACCCAAAATTAAACCCCAAAATTACCATATAAAACCCAAATTTAACCATATTACTCATATACACCAAAATTAAAACCATATCCCCCCTTTTAAACCATAAAACCCCCCCTATTAACCATAAAAACCCAAATTTTAAAACCATATACAAACCATATTAACCAAAATTAAACCCCTAACAACCATATTAAACCTAATTAAACCCAATAAAAACCATTTAACCATATCCAACCATATTAACCTTTATACAAAAATTTTCCCCCAAAATTTAACCCATAAAACCCCTAATAAAACCATTTTAAAACCAAATTTTTAATCATATAAAACCATATTACCCAATAAAAACCAATTAACCATTTTAACCATTTTAACCAAATATAAAACCCTATTAAAACCATATTAACCCTAAAAACCCATTTTAAAACCCATATCAACCTTTTAAACCCATATTAACCCATACCCCTATTAACCATTTTAATCATATTAATCATATTATCATATCCAACCATTTTAAACCCCAAAATTAAACCATATAAAAACCATTTTAAAATCAATACAAAACCTATTAACCAAAATCATTTACAACCCATTTTAAACCCATATACAACCATTTTAAAATTCCCCCCAATTCCCATTTTAACCCCATATAAAACCCTTTTAAATCTATTTAACCATATACAACCATTTTAAACCAAAAAACCAATAAAAATCATATACCCCCAATTTTAACCCCATATTAATCATACCCAACCCATTTAATCATATAAAAACCATATTAAAACCATAAACAAACCCATATTAACCATAAAAAAAACCCAAATATTAACCTATAAAACCATTACAACAGACAACAGACAATTTTAACAGCCCAAAAAGGGACGGACGGGTCTAAACCAAAAAGAAAAACAGGGGGAAACAGACAGACAGCCCAACCGAAAAAGACGGGTCTAACAGAAAACCCGACAGAAAAGGTCAACCAACAGCCCAGACAGGTTTAACAGAAAAAGCCCAAAACAGACAGGGGGTGACGCCACCAACAATAAAACAGAAAAGGGGGTCCCAGCGACAACATTCAAACAGACGCCAAACAACAACAGACGACAGACAACAAAACAGAAAAGGTTTCCCAACAGCCCTACAGACAGACATCCCCCCAAACAAAACAACAGCCCTAAAAAGACAGACGGGACAGACAGACGGGTTTAGCCCCGTGTCATCCCCGGGAAAAAAAAGAAAAAGGTTGGGGCCCATGCTCTGACGTAGACAGGGGTTTGCCCCTCATGATGGTCCCCAGGGGTTGGGGGAGGGGGACAGGGAAAAAGTTTGACGTCCAAAGGGGTATTTTAGCGTAGAGAAACTAAAACCAAGTTATAGAAACCTTTCCCCTTTGGCCCCTCCTCACGGGCCTGTTACCCTGAAACCACTTTAAAACATCCCCACGTTACATTTTTTTCCCTTATGACAACCTAAATTTCTCAAGAACCCTAAACCCCACCCCAAAACGACACAAAAGCGCAAAGGTAGGAAACTAGAGAAGCAAAGGTTGGGTGGGTTTTAAGTGTTTTCCCAAAGTTTACGGTTGGAGACAGCCCTCTATATTCTTCCCGTTTTGGAGACAGTTCTTAAAATTTTCCTGTTTGAGACATCTAAATATTCTTACTGTAAGGAACAGTCTTTTATTTATCTTACTTTTTGGGAGACTCTCTAAAATATCTTCCTGTAAGGAACAGTCTCTATATTCTTACTGTAGGAAAATTTCCCCATATACCCTTACTTTTTGGGGAGCCCTTCTCTAACATCTTACTTTTTTGGAGACTTTCCTCTATATACCTTTACTGAAAGGAGACGTCTCTAATTTTCTTCCCTTTTTGGAACAGTCTAAATATTTTTAAACTGTATATATCTTACTTTTAAAATTTGGGCCTTTTTGGAGACAGTCCCCCTATATTTTTTCTGTGGGGAGCCCTTCCCCTATTTTCTTTAAACTGTATAATCTTCCTTTTTGGGTACGTCTCTATATATTTTTATTTGGAAGGAGAAAAGCCCTCTAAAATTTATTTTTACTTTTTTTGGAGACGTCTCTTATATCTTCCCGTTTGGAGACAGTCCCCAAAATTTTCTTACTGTAAGGAGACAGTCTCTATATATAACTTACTGTATGGAGACAGTCTCTATATATCTTACTGTAAGGAGACAGTCTCTATATATCTTACTGTATGGAGAACAGTCCCCTTATATTTTTCTTTTTTGGGAGACAGCCCTCTAAATATTTTAAACTGAAAGGGAAAACGCCCTTAAAATATCTTTCTTTTTTTGGAGACGGGCTCTAATCTCTTCTTTTTTGGGAGACATCCTCTTTATAAAAAAACCGTATGAGCCCTTTCCTCTCATAATCTTCCCGGAAAGGAGCATTTCTCTAAAAATTTATTTTTACTGTTTGAAAAGCCCTCTATTTTCTTCCTGTTGGGGGACAGTCTCCCCCCCTTATTAACTTACTTATGGAGACGTCTCAAATTTTCCTTACTTTTTTGGGGGACACCCCTCTAAAATTTTTTTTACTGTTTGGAGACAGCCCTCTATATATCTTTTTTGTTGGAGAAGTCCCCAAATAAACTTACTTTTTTGGAAACCCTCTCTCTAAAAATAATTTTACTGTATGGAGACAGTCTCTATATATCTTACTGTAAGGAAGACAGTCCCTGTATTTTTTTATTTTTTTGGGGAGTCAGCCCCTCTTTTAATCTTACTTTTTTTGGAGACGTCCCCTTAAAATTTACTTAACTGAAAGGGAGACGTCTCTAATATTTTAAACTTTTTTGGGACAGTCTTTATATTCTTACTGAAAGGGAGACAGTTTTAAAATTCTTCCCTTTTTAAAATTTTTGTATGGAGACAGTCCCAAATATTTTACTTTTTGGAGACGGCCTAAAAACCTACGTATGGAAAACGGCCCTTTAAAATTTATTTTTTTACTAATGGGAGAAGTTCTATAAACTTATTTTTTGGGGAGAAGTCCCTATATATTTTAACTTTGTATGGAAAACATTCTCTAATTTTTTTTTCGGGAATGGGGGACAGCCCTCTATATATTTTAAACTTTTTGGAGACAGTCTCTAAAAATATCACTGAAAGGGGAACAGTCTTTTTAAAAAATTTAAACTGTTTGGGAACAGTCTCTAAAATTTTTACTGTATGGGGGACGGGTCTCTATATATTTTTACGTTTGGGAGACAGTCTCTATATATCTTACTTTTTGGGGACACCCTCTATATATTTTAAACTGTAAGGAAACACCCCTCTAAAAATCTTACTGTTTGGGACAGTCTCTATAATTTTAACTTTTGGAGACAGCCCTCAAATCTTAACTTTAAGGAAGACAGTCCCCTATAAAATTTTTAACTTTTTGGGAAAGCCCGCCCTCATAAAATTTTACTGTTTGGAGACAGCCCTCTAAATCTTACTTTTTTTGGAGACCCCCTCTAAAAAACTACTGGGGGGGAGACAGTCGCAAATATTCTTATTTGTAGGGGAACACCCTCTAATATTTTAAACGGGTTTGGAGCCCTTCTCTATATATCTTACGGGAAATGGAGACACCCCTCTATAATTTCTTACTATATGGAAAAAGTCTCTAAAACACCCTTACTTTAGGGGAAAACCCCCCTTCTATATTAACTTCCCTTTTGGGAAAGACATTCCCCCCAAGCCCTTATACATCTTACTGAAATGGAGACAGCCCCCCAAGTCTCTATACATCTTATGTAGGGAGACCGTCCTTTATAACTTACTGTATGGGACAGTCCCCCCAATCTCCTGACACCTTTATTTTTCAGTCCTTCCAAAAAAAAAGGTTGGGATTTTTTTTATCTACCGGGTGGAACCCCGTCCCCCGGGGCCCGGGCCCACGGCTTTCTCCTCCCCTTTGGGGCCGCCATCTTGTAAAAACGAAAAAACCCCCCCAAACCGTCTCCTTTTTGTTTGGGTCCTCCAATGGAAGGGGCCCGCACATTGACCCCTTAGTAGCTCTGTCCTAAGCCGTGACTAAAACCCCGAGACGTTACGAAACCTGAACGGTAAATGATCTTTCCGAACGGCCCCATTTCCCACGCCCGTCACTTCCCCCCCCGCCTCCTCCCCTTCAGGGGACGGGCAATCCTCTCCCCTGCCCTAATAAATTAAATAAATAAATAAAATTTCCCCCAATTTGGGATCAAAAAAGAAACTACTACACAAACTACTACTCTAGTAGTTGAAACTACACTGTTATTAAAAACTACTTCTCCTACTATTTCTACTACTACTCTGCTCCTCCCTACTACTTTACTCCCTACTCCTATACCTACTTTTCCAAACAAACAACTACTATCACTACTACACTACTAACCCCTACTACTATTCCTACTACTACTATCAAACTACTACTACACACTACTACACCCCAAACTACTATTTACTACTCCACACTACTAACTACTACTACTACTACTACTATTTACTACTACTCCAATTTACTACTATTACTACTACACTATACTACTACTAAAACAAACTCCTACTAAAACTACTACTACTATTTTTCTACTACAAATCTACAAACTACTACAAAACAATATTCCCTATACTGCTACAAAACCTTTGGGACTGTAAATTTGGGAAATAAAATAGGGGTCCGGGCTTTTGTTCGGGGGCCCACCCCCCCTCCTGCCCCCTGGCATGGGGGGCATTTCCCCTCCCCCAGCACCCCTCTCACCGCCAGCATTTGGGCGTGAGGAGCAGCAGATCGGCAGGTTCACCTGGTCATGAAACGGGAGAGAACACTCAATATAACAACATCCAACTGGTTCAGGTGCTGAAAAGAAAGACGGATGAATGTACTAGAAAAATGACAAACGTCTGCCACTATCTTCCCACTGAGGGTTAATGAGTAGCACAAATTCTGAGTCAGAGCAATGTTGTTATATTGATTACTGCTTTGTTGGGAAAGAGCAAGCAAAAAAAGTATTTTCACTGTACTTGTGCATGTGACAATAAAACGTGAATGTTGTGAACAGTCTTGTTTTTCCTTGATCCATGCTAGCTTCACCTTCAGACTCCTCTGTCCTTGTAGCAGGTCGTTGAGGTTGAGCTTGGCGAGGCCACAGGGGTCATAGTGTTTGCGCTTCTCTCTGAAGGGGTGGTGATTGGTCCGTTTCCCGGAGACCAGGACCACACTGCTTAGCTTGTCATCATTGGGATAGGTCCCGAACAGGGCGGGGCTGGTCGACACCTTCTCCAACTTCCTGTCTCTGTCGTGGACCTCGATCTCCAGCGGAGGACCTCGCAGGACCTCCAACAGCTCCCCAGGACTCAGCAAGCCTGGAGGAGGGAGTGCTAGCAATAATATAAGCTCTAGCAAAAGACTGATTCAGAGATAGCTGCAGCAGGAACATTAGCTTTAGCCATAGCTTTAGCGCTAATGATAAATAAAGCGATAGCTACATTTAGTGATAAGGATGATTTCTTAAGGGTGTGTTTGACAGTGCTCCACCTGTCATGATGACGTTGACGTCATTGAAGTAAACGTCAGTGCTGTGTCCCTGGCCTTTGGTCCGGTGCATAGACGTATTGAACTGGTACTGGCAGTACACTGGCAGACACTTCTCCTGACAGAAGATGTAGTATGAGAGGAAAGGAGATGAGACGTTAGGTGAGACAGTGTAGTGGTAGTACCTACAGTGTGTGGAGAGGGGGCAGGCTGGGAGGGCAGCTAGCTAGCTGACAGGATGTTAGGGTATATCACCTCTAAGACATGGAAGGGGACAGGCTGGGAGGGCAGCTAGCTAGCTGACAGGATGAAGGGGGCAGGCTGGGAGGGCAGCTAGCTAGCTGACAGGATATCACCTCTAAGACATGGAAGGGGGCAGGCTGGGAGGGCAGCTAGCTAGCTGACAGGATATCACCTCTAAGACATGGAAGGGGGCAGGCTGGGAGGGCAGCTAGCTAGCTGACAGGATGAAGGGGGCAGGCTGGGAGGGCAGCTAGCTAGCTGACAGGATGAAGGGGGCAGGCTGGGAGGGCAGCTAGATAGCTGACAGGATGAAGGGGGCAGGCTGGGAGGGCAGCTAGCTAGCTGACAGGATGAAGGGGGCAGGCTGGGAGGGCAGCTAGCTGGCTGACAGGATGAAGGGGGCAGGCTGGGAGGGCAGCTAGCTGGCTGACAGGATGAAGGGGGCAAGCTGGGAGGGCAGCTAGCTGGCTGACAGGATGAAGGGGGCAGGCTGGGAGGGCAGCTAGCTAGCTGACAGGATATCACCTCTAAGACATGGAAGGGGGCAGGCTGGGAGGGCAGCTAGCTAGCTGACAGGATGAAGGGGGCAGGCTGGGAGGGCAGCTAGCTAGCTGAGAGGATATCACCTCTAAGACATGGAAGGGGGCAGGCTGGGAGGGCAGCTAGCTAGCTGACAGGATATCACCTCTAAGACATGGAAGGGGGCAGGCTGGGAGGGCAGCTAGCTAGCTGACAGGATGAAGGGGGCAGGCTGGGAGGGCAGCTAGCTAGCTGACAGGATGAAGGGGGCAGGCTGGGAGGGCAGCTAGATAGCTGACAGGATGAAGGGGGCAGGCTGGGAGGGCAGCTAGCTAGCTGACAGGATGAAGGGGGCAGGCTGGGAGGGCAGCTAGCTGGCTGACAGGATGAAGGGGGCAGGCTGGGAGGGCAGCTAGCTGGCTGACAGGATGAAGGGGGCAAGCTGGGAGGGCAGCTAGAAGGCTGACAGGATGAAGGGGGCAGGCTGGGAGGGCAGCTAGCTAGCTGACAGGATATCACCTCTAAGACATGGAAGGGGGCAGGCTGGGAGGGCAGCTAGCTAGCTGACAGGATATCACCTCTAAGACATGGAAGGGGGCAGGCTGGGAGGGCAGCTAGTTAGCTGACAGGATGTTAGGGTATATCACCTCTAAGACATGGAAGGGGGCAGGCTGGGAGGGCAGCTAGCTAGCTGACAGGATGAAGGGGGCAAGCTGGGAGGGCAGCTAGCTAGCTGACAGGATGAAGGGGGCAAGCTGGGAGGGCAGCTAGCTAGCTGACAGGATGAAGGGGGCAAGCTGGGAGGGCAGCTAGCTAGCTGACAGGATGAAGGGGGCAGGCTGGGAGGGCAGCTAGCTAGCTGACAGGATGAAGGGGGCAGGCTGGGAGGGCAGCTAGCTAGCTGACAGGATGAAGGGGGCAGGCTGGGAGGGCAGCTAGCTAGCTGACAGGATGAAGGGGGCAGGCTGGGAGGGCAGCTAGCTGGCTGACAGGATGAAGGGGGCAGGCTGGGAGGGCAGCTAGCTGGCTGACAGGATGAAGGGGGCAAGCTGGGAGGGGCAGCTAGCTGGCTGACAGGATGAAGGGGGCAGGCTGGGAGGGCAGCTAGCTAGCTGACAGGATATCACCTCTAAGACATGGAAGGGGGCAGGCTGGGAGGGCAGCTAGCTAGCTGACAGGATATCACCTCTAAGACATGGAAGGGGGCAGGCTGGGAGGGCAGCTAGCTAGCTGACAGGATGAAGGGGGCAAGCTGGGAGGGCAGCTAGCTAGCTGACAGGATGAAGGGGGCAAGCTGGGAGGGCAGCTAGCTAGCTGACAGGATGAAGGGGGCAAGCTGGGAGGGCAGCTAGCTAGCTGACAGGATGAAGGGGGCAGGCTGGGAGGGCAGCTAGCTAGCTGACAGGATGAAGGGGGCAGGCTGGGAGGGCAGCTAGCTAGCTGACAGGATGAAGGGGGCAGGCTGGGAGGGCAGCTAGCTAGCTGACAGGATGAAGGGGGGCAGGCTGGGAGGGCAGCTAGCTGGCTGACAGGATGAAGGGGGCAAGCTGGGAGGGCAGCTAGCTAGCTGACAGGATGAAGGGGGCAGGCTGGGAGGGCAGCTAGCTAGCTGACAGGATGAAGGGGGCAGGCTGGGAGGGCAGCTAGCTAGCTGACAGGATATCACCTCTAAGACATGGAAGGGGGCAGGCTGGGAGGGCAGCTAGCTAGCTGACAGGATGAAGGGGACAGGCTGGGAGGGCAGCTAGCTAGCTGACAGGATGAAGGGGTCAGGCTGGGAGGGCAGCTAGCTAGCTGACAGGATGAAGGGGGTAGGCTGGGAGGGCAGCTAGCTAGCTGACAGGATGAAGGGGGCAGGCTGGGAGGGCAGCTAGCTGGCTGACAGGATGAAGGGGGCAGGCTGGGAGTGCAGCTAGCTGGCTGACAGGATGAAGGGGACAAGCTGGGAGGGCAGCTAGCTGGCTGACAGGATGAAGGGGGCAGGCTGGGAGGGCAGCTAGCTAGCTGACAGGATATCACCTCTAAGACATGGAAGGGGGCAGGCTGGGAGGGCAGCTAGCTAGCTGACAGGATATCACCTCTAAGACATGGAAGGGGGCAGGCTGGGAGGGCAGCTAGCTAGCTGACAGGATGTTAGGGTATATCACCTCTAAGACATGGAAGGGGGCAGGCTGGGAGGGCAGCTAGCTAGCTGACAGGATGAAGGGGGCAAGCTGGGAGGGCAGCTAGCTAGCTGACAGGATGAAGAGGGCAAGCTGGGAGGGCAGCTAGCTAGCTGACAGGATGAAGGGGGCAAGCTGGGAGGGCAGCTAGCTAGTTGACAGGATGAAGGGGGCAGGCTGGGAGGGCAGCTAGCTAGCTGACAGGATGAAGGGGGCAGGCTGGGAGGGCAGCTAGCTAGCTGACAGGATGAAGGGGGCAGGCTGGGAGGGCAGCTAGCTAGCTGACAGGATGAAGGGGGCAGGCTGGGAGGGCAGCTAGCTAGCTGACAGGATGAAGGGGGCAGGCTGGGAGGGCAGCTAGCTGGCTGACAGGATGAAGGGGGCAAGCTGGGGGGGCAGCTAGCTGGCTGACAGGATGAAGGGGGCAAGCTGGGAGGGCAGCTAGCTAGCTGACAGGATGAAGGGGGCAAGCTGGGAGGGCAGCTAGCTAGCTGACAGGATGAAGGGGGCAAGCTGGGAGGGGCAGCTAGCTAGCTGACAGGATGAAGGGGGAAAGCTGGGAGGGCAGCTAGCTAGCTGACAGGATGAAGGGGGCAGGCTGGGAGGGCAGCTAGCTAGCTGACAGGATGAAGGGGGCAGGCTGGGAGGGCAGCTAGCTAGCTGACAGGATGAAGGGGGCAGGCTGGGAGGGCAGCTAGCTGGCTGACAGGATGAAGGGGACAAGCTGGGAGGGCAGCTAGCTAGCTGACAGGATGAAGGGGGCAGGCTGGGAGGGCAGCTAGCTAGCTGACAGGATGAAGGGGGCAGGCTGGGAGGGCAGCTAGCTAGCTGACAGGATAAAGGGGGCAGGCTGGGAGGGCAGCTAGCTAGCTGACAGGATGAAGGGGGCCGGCTGGGAGGGCAGCTAGCTAGCTGACAGGATGAAGGGGGCAAGGCTGGGAGGGCAGCTAGCTGGCTGACAGATGAAGGGGGCAGGCCTGGGAGGGCAGCTAGCTAGCTGACAGGATATCACCTCTAAGACATGGAAGGGGGCAGGCTGGGAGGGCAGCTAGCTAGCTGACCGGATATCACCTCTAAGACATGGAAGGGGGCAGGCTGGGAGGGCAGCTAGCTAGCTGACAGGATGTGTTAGGGGTATATCACCTCTTAAGACATGGAAGGGGGACCGGCTGGTGGGGGCAGCTAGCTAGCTGACGGCTGAATGAAGGGGGCAGGCTGGGGGAGGGCAGCTAGCTAGCTGACAGGATGTTAGGGTATATCACCTCTAAGACATGGAAGGGGACAGGGGATGATGGCAGGGAGGAGGCTGACAGGATGTTAGGGTATATCACCTCTAAGACATGGAAGGGGACAGGGGATGATGGCAGGGAGGAGGCTGACAGGATGGTGATGACCAGAGGGTTCAGTTCAGCCTTCAGCTTCTCAGAGATCAGAGGTCGGTCCAGACTGATGTTACACAGACCCTCATTCACCCCAGAGGAACACGTCACCAGGCAGTCAGACAGACACTGGTCTCCTAACGTACACACGAAACAAAGGACCAGATTGACATACTTTAATACAAAAATGTTGTTCTTCATCTAAGTTTTAGAACTACAATAACTTTGTCATGCCAACAGTAAAACATGTGATGTGTCTGTCCTTTGGTGTTGTGATCCTGTGTTTCAGGGGTTTGGTTATAACTGGGGCTTTCTGGAGGGGCTACAGGTGTCTCTAATTGGCTAGCCTCTGCCGACTCCCAACAACCGGATGGTTCGTTTTTCTGGGGAAATTTTAAGAGAGCCTGAGAGCTTTTGGGCGTTAACAAGGCGAAACTCCATCTTAACTCCTCCTCCACATTTACTGGATTGGTTGAACAGTGCAAGAAAACCTCTCAACAGTTTCTTTGTTTTCTTGTCACGACCAGTATGTAGAGGATCGAGTTTCAGGCTACGTCAGGTTACTAATCGTCTAGTGAGGTTTGTAATAGGGATGCAGTGAAAGGCTCATGAGTCAATCCATGTATTTATAAAATCCCTTTTTACCACAGAGATGTCACAAAGTGCAAACAGAAACCCAGCCAATATATCCCATCCGTTTCCTTCCATGACATTCTATCACATTCCTTTGTTCCTGATTATGTGCAATTCCGTCCATTCCAGGTCATGCCATTTGCCGGTTTCCTTGGCCAGTCTTATTCTATACCATAACCCGGTTCCTTCCATGTCGTATCGAACCATAACCCGGGCCTGCCATCAGGCAAGGACCATAACCTGGGCCTGCATTCTGATGCGAACCAAACCTGTTGCCGGCCATGCGAGGCGAGAACCAGAACCCTGGCCGCCAGTCTAGTCGATATCCAGAACCCTGGCCGGCCAGTCATGTCTATACCTAGAACCTTGCCGTCCAGTCATGCAGACCATAACCCTTTCCTTCCATGCTATCGATACCATAAACCCGCTCCATCGGGAGTCTGATGACCAGAACCCGGGCCGTCCAGGCTGATGCAGACCAGAACCCTTCCTCCTCGGGAGTTAACCAAACCCGGGCCGGCCAGGCGGAGCAGACCAAACCCGGGCCTCCATGCAGTCTAACCAGAACCCGGTCGGTCCATGCGATCGAGACCAAACCCTGGCCTGGCCAGGCGAGGCGAGACCAGAACCCTGCCTGCCATCAGGTCGAACCAAACCCTGGTCCTGGCACAGGCGAGACGAGACCAAACCCGGGTCCGTCCATGCGATCAAACCAGAACCCGGTCAGGTCCAGGCTGATGGCATGACCCAAACCCGGTCCGCCAGTCAGTCAGACCAAACCCGGCCGGCCAGGCGAGCGAGACCAGAACCGGCGCCGGCTAGGAGATCGAGACCAACCAAACCCGTCCGGCAGGCGAGGCAAGACCAGAACCCGGGCCGGCCATGGGAGGCATACCAGAACCCGTGCCGGCCAGTACCATAACCTGTACTCCGGCGATCATACCAAACACCGTGCCTGGCCAGCTAGACCAGAACCCTTCCGGCAGACAATACCAACCCCTCCATTCTATTCTATACATAACCCTTTCCTTCCATTCTATTCTATACCATAACCCTTTCCTTCCATTCTATTCTATACCATAACCCTTTCCTTCCATTCTATTCTATACCATAACCCTTTCCTTCCATTCTATTCTATACCATTTCCCTTTAGTGATATCCTATTCAATCAATCACATTTTATTTATAAAGCCCTTTTTACATCAGCAGATGTCACAAAGTGCAATGCAGAAACCCAGCCTAAAACCCCCCTCGCAGAAACCCAGCCTAAAACCCCCCTCACAGAAACCCAGCCTAAAACCCCGCACACAGAAACCCAGCCTAAAACCCCCCACACAGAAACCCAGCCTAAAACCCCCCTCACAGAAACCCAGCCTAAAACCCCCCACACAGAAACCCAGCCTAAAACCCCTTTCATTCCATTGCATTCTATCCTATTTTCCATTAATTCAATCCCTTTCCCCTGTCCTTCATTTCAATCCCATTACACTTATTTCCCATTCTATTCCATTTCCCTACATTTTGTATTTATTTATTTTTAGTAACTTTTTACCCCTTTTTTTCTCCCCAATTCCATGATATCCAATTGGTAGTTACAGTCTTGTCCCATCGCTGCAACTCCCGTACGGACTCGGGAGAGGCGAAGGTCGAGAGCCATGCGTCCTCCGAAACACGACCCTACCAAGCCGCACTACTTCTTGACACACTACTCGCTTAACCCGGAAGGCAGCCGCACCAATGTGTCGGAGTAAACACCGTTTAACTGGCAACACGAGTCAGCGTGCATGCCCCCGGCCCGCCACTAGGAGTCGCTACAGCGCAATGGGACAAGGACATCCCGGCCGGCCAAACCCTCCCCTAACCCGGACGACGCTGGGCCAATTTTGCATCGCCTCATGGGTCTCCCGGTTGCGGCCAGATGCGACACAGCCCAGAATTAAACCCGGGTCTGTAGTCTGGCCTCTAGCACTGCGGTGCAGTGACTTAGACCGCTGCGCCACTATATTTCCTTCCATTCCATCCCCTTGCCATTCTATTCTATTGCATCCCAGTCTCTCCTATCTCACCTGCCAGGAGATAGACGTAGCTGAGTTCTAGTGATGCCACTCCATTCCTCCTGATGTGCTCAGTGTGAGCAGCAGTCTCCTGGGTCGTCTTGATGAGCGCCTTCTTCCCAGGCACCACCAACTGGTCCTTTACTGAACCAGTCTTCATAGGAGCTGAGATGAGAGAAACCAATGACTTTATACTGTATGTGTCAGCTGATAATGACAGGGTTTCTATAGAAATAAACAGCATCAAACAGCTGTTCCAGACCAGTCACGTACGGACGGTTGTCTTGCTGGTTTCTTTTGTGGCTTTGGAGGACTGGTCCAGAGCTGATTTCTTCTGGCCTGGTTTTGATGAAGTGGAATCCTTCTCCTTCTCCTGGTCCACTGGGCCATCAAGTTTGGTGCTCTTTGAGTCGACTGACTGCAGGTCCCGTTCCACTGATCTAAAACATCACAGGAATAATGGGAAAGTTTGTAAAGCTGGCAATGAAATATTGAAAAGACATTGATCAGCCAATCCCATTACAACTATGTTAACCAGAGATGTTTCCTAACTAATATTGTGTGTGTGTGTGTGTGTGTGTGTGTGTGTGTGTGTGTGTGTGTGTGTGTGTGTGTGTGTGTGTGTGTGTGTGTGTGTGTGTGTGTGTGTGTGTGTGTGTGTGTGTGTGTGTGTGTGTGTGTGTGTGTTGTGTGTGTGTGTGTGTGTGTGTGTGACTGTCTGACCTGGCTCCACATTGTTCTGTGACTGAGACCAGCGATCCTGTGTTGAGGGCAGCTGAGGAGGAGACCTTCTCACTGGCTGTCACCTCCGTGGTGGATGCCTTGGATTCAACTGGTGGGTAATGTTAACATGTTATACTGTTGGCTATGGGCTCAACTGGTGGGTAATGTTAACATATTATACTGTAGGCTATGGGCTCAACTGGTGGGTAACGTTAACATGTTATACTGTAGGCTATGGGCTCAACTGGTGGGTAATGTTAACATGTTATACTGTAGGCTATGGATTCAACTGGTGGGTAATGTTAACATGTTATACTGTAGGCCTTGGATTCAACTGGTGGGTAATGTTAACATGTTATACTGTAGGCTATGGATTCAACTGGTGGGTAATGTTAACATGTTATACTGTAGGCTATGGGCTCAACTGGTGGGTAATGTTAACATGTTATACTGTAGGCTATGGATTCAACTGGTGGGTAATGTTAACATGTTATACTGTAGGCGATGGGCTCAACTGGTGGGTAATGTTAACATGTTATACTGTAGGCTATGGGCTCAACTGGTGGGTAATGTTAACATGTTATACTGTAGGCTATGGATTCAACTGGTGGGTAATGTTAACATGTTATACTGTAGGCTATGGGCTCAACTGGTGGGTAATGTTAACATGTTATACTGTAGGCTATGGGCTCAACTGGTGGGTAATGTTAACATGTTATACTGTAGGCTATGGGCTCAACTGGTGGGTAATGTTAACATGTTATACTGTTGGCTATGGGCTCAACTGGTGGGTAATGTTAACATGTTATACTGTAGGCTATGGATTCAACTGGTGGGTAATGTTAACATGTTATACTGTAGGCCTTGGATTCAACTGGTGGGTAATGTTAACATGTTATACTGTAGGCTATGGGCTCAACTGGTGGGTAATGTTAACATGTTATACTGTAGGCCTTGGATTCAACTGGTGGGTAACGTTAACATGTTATACTGTAGGCTATGGATTCAACTGGTAGGTAATGTTAACATGTTATACTGTAGGCTATGGGCTCAACTGGTGGGTAATGTTAACATGTTATACTGTTGGCTATGGATTCAACTGGTGGGTAATGTTAACATGTTATACTGTAGGCTATGGGCTCAACTGGTGGGTAATGTTAACATGTTATACTGTAGGCCTTGGATTCAACTGGTGGGTAATGTTAACATGTTATACTGTAGGCTATGGGCTCAACTGGTGGGTAATGTTAACATGTTATACTGTAGGCTATGGATTCAACTGGTGGGTAATGTTAACATGTTATACTGTAGGCCTTGGATTCAACTGGTGGGTAATGTTAACATGTTATACTGTTGGCTATGGATTCAACTGGTGGGTAATGTTAACATGTTATACTGTTGGCTATGGATTCAACTGGTGGGTAACGTTAACATGTTATACTGTAGGCTATGGATTCAACTGGTGGGTAATGTTAACATGTTATACTGTAGGCTATGGGCTCAACTGGTGGGTAATGTTAACATGTTATACTGTAGGCTATGGATTCAACTGGTGGGTAATGTTAACATGTTATACTGTAGGCTATGGGCTCAACTGGTGGGTAATGTTAACATGTTATACTGTAGGCTATGGATTCAACTGGTGGGTAATGTTAACATGTTATACTGTAGGCTATGGATTCAACTGGTGGGTAATGTTAACATGTTATACTGTAGGCTATGGGCTCAACTGGTGGGTAATGTTAACATGTTATACTGTAGGCTATGGGCTCAACTGGTGGGTAATGTTAACATGTTATACTGTAGGCTATGGGCTCAACTGGTGGGTAATGTTAACATGTTATACTGTTGGCTATGTATTGGTGGGTAATGTTAACATGTTATACTGTTGGCTATGGGCTCAACTGGTGGGTAATGTTAACATTGTATTGTCTTCATGGCTACTCCTATTTGATTTCATGTGGATTGATCCTTTAGAAGGGTTTGCTTTATTTCTGACACCATAACATGTGAAGTCCACTGTTCTGTTCTACTTTCTGAACACATTATGGTACTGATCCATTGTACTGTTCTACTTTCTGAACACATTATGGTACTGATCCATTGTACTGTTCTACTTTCTGAACACATTACGGTACTGATCCACTGTTCTGTTCTACTTTCTGAACACATTATGGTACTGATCCACTGTTCTGTTCTACTTTCTGAACACATTATGGTACTGATCCACTGTTCCGTTCTACTTTCTGAACACATTATGGTACTGATCCACTGTTCTGTTCTACTTTCTGAACACATTATGGTACTGATCCACTGTTCTGTTCTACTTTCTGAACACATTATGGATACTGGTGAATATATGGTGTATAGCAGGGTTCTTCAATTCCGGTCCTGGAGGGCCGAAACACCTCTGTATTTCATCCTCTCCTTCTAGTCAGGGGCTAATTCAGACCTGGGACACCAGGTGAGTGCAATTAACTACCAGGAAGTGTTTAGGCCCTCCAACCTCCAACTACCAGGAAGTGTTTCGGCCCTCCAGGACCGGAATTGAAGAACCCTGGTGTATAGGATACTGGTTTACCTGTAGCACAGTGGAGCTCAGAGAACCTCTTGAAGTCCATGGACAAGGCATCTTCTCTCTTATTGGACGATCTGGTCCTGGGATTCTTCTTCTCAAACATAATTCTCAACTTGTACACCATGCTCTTTGTCCCACCTTAAAGCAGAGATTTTCATCTGAAATCCTGATAGTTCAAACACTGGAACGTGTGATGTAATCTACACCTGGATTAGACTGGCAGAAACCCTCATTATTTAGTTGAATGTTTTTATATTTGGGTGTCATTGTTGTAGCTCCCTCTTCAATCAGCATGGATCTCAAACCATGCTACAATATTAAAGCAGATTCTCCTAGCTCCCTATTCAATCAGCATGGATCTCAAACCATGCTACAATATTAATATCTTCTCCTACAGACGTTCTATATACAGATGCTTCATATTGTTACATCCTGTGAGAGATCTGGCTCCTTCTAGCAGTGGTGTAACTCTGGTCGTTGGGCCAGTTCATTTTGTATGGCCTGGTGCTCCGGGTGGGCGCGGAGGTTGCACATGGCCTGGTGCTCCGGGTGGGCGCGGAGGTTGCACATGGCCTGGTGCTCCGGGTGGGCGTGGAGGTTGCACATGGCCTGGTGCTCCGGGTGGGCGCGGAGGTTGCACATGGCCTGGTGCTCCGGGTGGGCGCGGAGTTTGCACATGGCCTGGTGCTCCGGGTGGGCGCGGAGGTTGCACATGGCCTGGTGCTCCGGGTGGGCGCGGAGGTTGCACATACTAGACTATTCCATTGGTTCTTAAGTGAAATCTCCACCCACCCGGGGCACTAGGCCATGCAAAGCGAATTGGCCCATCGTCACGAAGCTGCCCACACCCTTCCCACCCGTCAGGACGTTCAGAACAAGAAAGTGTGGAAGGGTGTGGGCAGCTTCGTGACGATGGGCCAATTCGCTTTGCATGTCAGGCTGAAACAAGACACACAGGAAACTGTAGAGGACTGTGGGGCAGTACAGAGACCCCAGGCTGAAACAAGACACACAGGAAACTGTAGAGGACTGTGGGGCAGTACAGAGACCCCAGGCTGAAACAAGACACACAGGAAACTGTAGAGGACGGTGGGGCAGTACAGAGACCCCAGGCTGAAACAAGACACACAGGAAACTGTAGAGGACTGTGGGGCAGTACAGAGACCCCAGGCTGGAAACAAGGACACAGAGGAAACTGTAGAGGACGGTGGGGCAGTACAGAGACCCCAGGCTGAAACAAAGACACAGAGGAAACTGTAGAGGACGGTGGGGCAGTCCAGAGACCCCAGGCTGAAACAAGACACAGAGGAAACTGTAGAGGACGGTGGGGCAGTACAGAGACCCCAGGCTGAAACAAGACACAGAGGAAACTGTAGAGGACGGTGGGGCAGTACAGAGACCCCAGGCATGAAACAAGACACACAGGAAAACTGTAGAGGACGGTGGGGCAGTACAGAGACCCCAGGTGAAACAACACACAGGAAACTGTAGAGGACGGTGGGGCAGTCCAGGACCCCAGGCGGAAACAGACACACAGGAAAACTGTAGAGGACGGTGGGGCAGTACAGAGACCCCAGGCTGAAACAAGACACACAGGAAACTGTAGAGGACGGTGGGGCCAGTACAGAGACCCCAGGCTGAAACAAGACACACAGGAAAAACTGTAGAGGGACAGTGGGGCAGTACAGAGACCCCAGGCTGAAAAAGACAACAGGAAACTGTAGAGGACGGTGGGCAGTACAGAGACCCCAGGCTGAAACAAGACACACAGGAAACTGTAGAGGATGTGGGGCAGTACAGAGACCCCAGGCTGAAACAAGACACACAGGAAACTGTAGAGGACTGTGGGGCAGTACAGAGACCCCAGGCTGGAAACAAGACACACAGGAAACTGTAGAGGACGGAGGGGCGTACAGAGACCCCAGGCTGAAACAAGACACACAGGAAACTGTAGAGGACGGTGGGGCAGTACAGAGACCCCAGGCTGAAACAAGACACACAGGAAACTGTAGAGGACAGTGGGGCAGTACAGAGACCCCAGGCTGAAACAAGACACACAGGAAACTGTAGAGGACGGTGGGGCAGTACAGAGACCCCAGGCTGAAACAAGACACACAGGAAACTGTAGAGGACAGTGGGGCAGTACAGAGACCCCAGGCTGAAACAAGACACACAGGAAACTGTAGAGGACGGTGGGGCAGTCCAGAGACCCCAGGCTGAAACAAGACACACAGGAAACTGTAGAGGACGGTGGGGCAGTACAGAGACCCCAGGCTGAAACAAGACACACAGGAAACTGTAGAGGACAGTGGGGCAGTACAGAGACCCCAGGCTGAAACAAGACACACAGGAAACTGTAGAGGACGGTGGGGCAGTCCAGAGACCCCAGGCTGAAAAACCAGGAAACTGTATAGAGGACGGTGGGGCAGTTACAGGAGACCCCAGGCTGGAAACAGAACGCACAGCAGGAGGAAACTGGTAGAGGACTGGTGGGGCAGTACAGAGACCCCAGGCTGAAACAAGACACAGAGGAAAACTGTAGAGGACGGTGGGCAGTAACAGAGACCCAGGCTGAAACACGACACAGAGGAAACTGTAGAGGACGGTGGGCAGTCCAGAGACCCAGGCTTGAAACAAGACACACAGGAAACTGTAGAGGACGGTGGGGCAGTACAGAGACCCCAGGCGAAACAGACACACAGGAAACTGTAGAGGACGGTGGGCAGTACAGAGACACCAGGCTTGAAAACAAGACACACAGGGAAACTGGTAGAGGACGGTGGGCAGTACAGAGACCCCAGGCTGAAACAAGACACAGAGGAAATGTAGAGGACGGTGGGGCAGTACAGAGACCCCAGGCTGAAACAAGACACACAGGACACGGTAGAGGACGGGGGCAGTAACAGAGACCCCAGGCTGAAAAAGACAAAGGAAACTGTAGAGGACGGGGGGGGCAGTACAGAGCCCCCAGGCTGAAACAAGACACACGGGAAAAACTGTAGAGGACGGTGGGGCAGTCCCGAGACCCCAGGCTGAAACAAGACACAGAGGAAACTGTAGAGGACGGTGGGGCAGTCCAGAGACCCCAGGCTGAAACAAGACCAAAAGGAAACTGTAGAGGACGGTGGGGCAGTACAGAGACCCAGGCTGAAACAAGACACAGAGGAAACTGTAGAGGACGGTGGGGCAGTACAGAGACCCCAGGCTGAAACAAGACACACAGGAAATGTAGAGGACGGTGGGGCATTTAAAAAAGGGACCCCAAAGGTTTGGAGGGGGGAACAAGAACAAACCACAAGGAAACTGTAGAGGACGTGGGGCAGTACAGAGACCCCAGGCTGAAAACAAGAACACGAAACTGTAGAGGACGGTGGGGCAGTACAGAGACCCCAGGCTTGAAACAGACACAGAGGAAACTGTAGAGGACGGTGGGGCAGTACAGAGACCCCAGGCTGAAACAAGACACAGAGGAAAATGTAGAGGACGGTGGGGCAGGTACAGAGACCCAGGCTGAACAAGACACAGAGGAAACTGTAGAGGCGGTGGGGCAGTCCAGAGACCCCAGGCTGAAACAAGACACACAGGAAACTGTAGAGGACGGAGGGGCATTCAGAGACCCCAGGCTGATGAACAAGACACACAGGAAACTGTAGAGGACTGTGGGGCAGTACAGAGACCCCAGGCTGAAACAAGGACACCACAGGAAAAACTGTAGAGGACGGTTGGGGCAGTCCAGAGACCCCAAGGCATGAAACAAGACACACAGGAAACGTAGAGGACAGTGGGGGCAGTACAGAGACCCCAGGCTGAAAGAAGGGAACGTGTGGATGAAGGTGGGGCAGTCCAGAGACCCCAGGCTGAAACAAGACACACAGGAAACTGTAGAGGACGGTGGGGGCAGTACAGAGACCCCAGGCTTGAAACAAGACACACAGGAAACTGTAGAGGACGGAGGGGCAGTACAGAGACCCCAGGCTGAAAAACAAGACACACAGGAAACTGTAGAGGACAGTGGGGCAGTACAGAGACCCCAGGCTGAAAACAAGACACAGAGGAAACTGTAGAGGACGGTGGGGCAGTACAGAGACCCCAGGCTGAAACCAAGACACACAGGAAACTGTAGAGGACAGTGGGGCAGTACAGAGACCCCAGGCTGAAACAAGACACACAGGAAACTGTAGAGGACAGTGGGGCAGTACAGAGACCCCAGGCTGAAACAAGACACACAGGAAACTGTAGAGGACGGTGGGGCAGTACAGAGACCCCAGGCTGAAACAAGACACACAGGAAACTGTAGAGGACTGTGGGGCAGTACAGAGACCCCAGGCTGAAACAAGACACACAGGAAACTGTAGAGGACGGTGGGGCAGTACAGAGACCCCAGGCTGAAACAAGACACACAGGAAACTGTAGAGGACAGTGGGGCAGTCCAGAGACCCCAGGCTGAAAGAAGGGAATGTGTGGATGAAGGTGGGGCAGTCCAGAGACCCCAGGCTGAAAGAAGGGAACGTGTGGATGAAGGTGTGGATGAAGGTGTGGATGAAGGTGTTGATGAAGGTGCTGCTATAGCAGAAACTATAATGGAGAAAGCACACACTAAGGATGTACAGGAGCCTCCAGACATTCCAAGGCGCTACCCGGAACGAAGGCACCGTCCACCAGACAGACTGGACTTATAAACAAACACAAACAAAAACTAAGACTGTTCAAGTTCAAATCAAGATGCAAAATAACTACAACAAGTTCTGGGAGATGTTTGGTAAAAGTAACTCTGATCGTATAAGAGAAGGAACGTTATGTTCTGTTAATTACTGATGTCCCCTTTAAGAGCGGAGCGCCCTTGGTAATGCTCAGTGTTGCTCTATGTTATTCTTGTACTAACTAGCTTTAGTAAATGTGAAGCTCCAGTTCACTTCCTTCTATTAGGAGTCTTAGTAATAATAGCTAAGACTCTACACTTCTCTATGTATTTAGACTCTACACTTCTCTATGTATTTAGGTAAATGGGTGATAGCTAAGACTCTACACTTCTCTATGTATTTAGGTAAATGGGTGAATTAGTAGTACAAGGCAGTCTGAGGTACATATCTCACTCCGGCTCTGCGGTACATATCTCACTCCGGCTCTGAGGTACATATCTCACTCCGGCTCTGAGGTACATATCTCACTCCGGCTCTGAGGTACATATCTCACTCCGGCTCTGAGGTACATATCTCACTCCGGCTCTGAGGTACATATCTCACTCCGGCTCTGAGGTACATATCTCACTCCGGCTCTGAGGTACATATCTCACTCCGGCTCTGAGGTACATATCTCACTCCGGCTCTGAGGTACATATCTCACTCCGGCTCTGCGGTACATATCTCACTCCGGCTCTGCGGTACATATCTCACTCCGGCTCTGCGGTGGCCTGATCAAAGCAGCCTGCCAAAACCAACTTACAGGGAAGCGCACAGCGACTGTAAGTTCGGAATCATATTATGTCGATGCTTAGCTAAGCATCAGATGGAGATTGATTATTGATTACCTCTGGCTGCCTCACAGTCTGGGCTTACTCCTAGCATCAGATAGATACCTCAAAACAGTTGTTAACATGAACACATTCTGATTCTCTAGCAAGACATCAGATAGATACCTCAAAACAGTTATTAACATGAACACATTCTGATTCTCTAGCAAGACATCAGATAGATACCTCAAAACAGTTATTAACATGAACACATTCTGATTCTCTAGCAAGACATCAGATAGATACCTCAAAACAGTTATTAACATGAACATATTCTCCAGCCAGACATCAGAAGACAGTTATTAACATGAACACATTCTCCAGCCAGACATCAGAAGACAGTTATTAACATGAACACATTCTCCAGCCAGACATCAGAAGACGTTATTAACATGAACATATTCTCCAGCCAGACATCAGAAGACAGTTATTAACATGAACATATTCTCCAGCCAGACATCAGAAGACAGTTTATTAACATGAACATATTCTCCAGCCAGACATCAGAAGACAGTTATTAACATGAACATATTCTCCAGCCAGACATCAGAAGGACAGTTATTATTAACATGAACAATTACTTCTCCAGCCAGACATCAGAAGACAGTTATTAACATGAACATATTCTCCAGCCAGACATCAGAAGACAGTTATTAACATGAACATATTCTCCAGCCAGACATCAGAAGACAGTTATTAACATGAACATATTCTCCAGCCAGACATCAGAAGACAGTTATTAACATGAACATATTCTCCAGCCAGACATCAGAAGACAGTTATTAACATGACCATATTCTCCAGCCAGACATCAGAAGACAGTTATTAACATGAACATATTCTCCAGCCAGACATCAGAAGACAGTTATTAACATGAACACATTCTCCAGCCAGACATCAGAAGACAGTTATTAACATGAACATATTCTCCAGCCAGACATCAGAAGACAGTTATTAACATGAACACATTCTCCAGCCAGACATCAGAAGACAGTTATTAACATGAACATATTCTCCAGCCAGACTCAGAAGACAGTTATTTAAAATGAACACATTCTCCAGCCCCGACATCAGAAGACAGTTATTAACATGAACATATTCTCCCGCCAGACATCAGAAGACAGTTATTACATGAACATATTCTCCAGCCAGACATCAGAAGGGCAGTTATTTAAAATGAAACACATTCTCCAACCAGACATCAGAAGACATTATTAACATGAACATATTCTCCAGCCAGACATCAGAAGACAGTTATTAACATGAACTATTCTCCAGCCAGACATCAGAAGACACTTATTAAAATGAAAATATTCTTCCAGCCAGACTCAGAAGACAGTATTACATGAACATATTCTCCAGCCAGACATCAGAAGACACTTATTAAAAGAACATATTCTCCAGCCAGACATCAGAAGACAGTTTTTAACATGAACATATTCTCCAGCCAGACATCAGAAGACAGTTATTAACATGAACATATTCTCCAGCCAGACATCAGAAGACAGTTATTAACATGAACATATTCTCCAGCCAGACAGCCAAATTGTCAGACAGCACAACATCAGTATAACACAATATTGACAACTGAACACTAATACACTGTTGAACCTCTGATTGGGCCAAAACAAATCTAACACACAGCTATCTGAGTTTTGGAAATGTAAATGATTCCCAGTGATGTCATTAGAAGTTAAAACGGGTTAAAACCGCAGCTCTTACCTAGGTCTTGGTCTTCCCCTGGTTTAGCCTGTGGCAGCTGGAAGGCTTTGGGTCGGTCATATCTGGATCAATAAATAAGCAAGCAGACACTTTGATCCACACTTGCATTGATTCCCGGGTTTACATACTTATTCATTGTTAGGGCTCAATTCAATCCGTATCGCTAAAGTTCAGCGTTATAGCGCGATTGAAATCTAAAGTAAATTTCATATTGAACCGAGATATGCAGCATTTACCGCTAATGCAGGAACATTGCCTTAAAATGTGTAACGTGCTGTAATGCAGTTCTTCAGAGCTCCAGATTGAATTGAGCGCTTAGTCCATACTCTGTGGTACAATACCTGGCCTTAGTCTATAATCTGTGGTACAATAACTGGCCTTAGTTCTATAATCTGTGGTACAATACCTGGCCTTAGTCCATAATCTGTGGTACAATACCTGGCCTTAGTCTATAATCTGTGGTACAATACCTGGCCTTAGTCTATAATCTGTGGTACAATACCTGGCCTTAGTCTATAATCTGTGGTACAATACCTGGCCTTAGTCTATAATCTGTGGTACAATACCTGGCCTTAGTCTATAATCTGTGGTACAATAACTGGCCTTAGTTCTATAATCTGTGGTACAATACCTGGCCTTAGTCCATACTCTGTGGTACAATACCTGGCCTTAGTCTATAATATGTGGTACAATACCTGGCCTTAGTTCTATAATCTGTGGTACAATACCTGGCCTTAGTCTATAATCTGTGGTACAATACCTGGCCTTAGTCTATAATCTGTGGTACAATACCTGGCCTTAGTTCTATAATCTGTGGTACAATACCTGGCCTTAGTCTATAATCTGTGGTACAATACCTGGCCTTAGTCCATACTCTGTGGTACAATACCTGGCCTTAGTCTATAATCTGTGGTACAATACCTGGCCTTAGTCCATAATCTGAGGTACAATACGTGACCTTAGTTCTATAATCTGTGGTTCAATACCTGGCCTTAGTTCTATAATCTGTGGTACAATACCTGGCCTTAGTCTATAATCTGTGGTGCAATACCTGGCCTTAGTTCTATAATATGTGGTACAATACCTGTTCTTAGTCTATAATCTGTGGTACAATACCTGGCCTTAGTCTATAATCTGTGGTACAATACCTGGCCTTGGTCTATATTCTGTGGTACAATACCTGGCCTTAGTCTATAATCTGTGTACAATACCGGCCTTAGTCTATATCTGTGGTACAATACCTGGCCTTAGTCCATAATCTGTGGTACAATACCGGCCTTAGTCTATAATCTGTGGTACAATACCTGGCCTTAGTCTATAATCTGTGTTACCATACCTGGCCTTAGTCTATAATCTGTGGTACAATACCTGGCCTTAGTCTATAATCTGTGGTACAAACCTGGGCTTAGTCTATAATCTGTGGACAATACCTGGCCTTGTCTATTTAAACTGTGGTACAATACTGGCCTTATAGTCATAATCTGTGGTACAATACCTGGCCTTAGTCTATAATCTGTGGTACAATACCTGGCCCTTTGTCTATAATCTGTGGTACAATACCTGGGCTTAGTCTATAATTGTGGTACAATACCTGGCCCTTTGTCTATAATCGTGGTACAATACTGGCCTTAGTCTATAATCTGTTTGGGACAATACCTGGCCTAGTCTATAATCTGGGGGTACAATACCCGGCCTTTGTCTAAATCTGTGGTACAATACCCGGCCTTAGTTATAATCTGTGGTACAATACCTGGCCTTTAGTCATAATATGTGTTACAATACCTGGCCTTAGTCTATAATCGTGGTTTCAATACCTGGGCTTAGTCTATAATCTGTGGGACAATACCTGGCCTTAGTCTAAATCTGTGGTACAATACCTGGCTTTGTCTATAATCTGTGGTACAATACCTGGCCTAGTCTATAATTGTGGTACAATACCTGGCCTTAGTCATAATCTGTGGTACAATACCTGGCCTTAGTCTATAATCTGTGGTACAATACCTGGCCTTAGTCTATAATCTGTGGTACAATACCTGGGCTTAGTCTATAATCTGTGGTACAATACCTGGCCTTAGTCTATAATCTGTGGTACAATACCTGGCCTTAGTCTATAATCTGTGGTACAATACCTGGCCTTAGTCTTAAAAATCTGTGGGACAATACCTGGCCTTAGTTATAAATCTGTGGTACAATACCTGGCCTTAGTCTATAATCTGTGGTACAATACCTGGCCTTAGTCTATAATCTGTGGTACCATACCTGGCCTTAGCAGAGCATCTGTCCTTGGTGTCCCAGATTTTGAAGGTGATTTTATGAGACAGCAGTTTAATGAGCAGCTCTCTGGTGACCCTAACCTTTACAGACTGGGACCAGCCTAACCACACCTGGTCCCCTTCATGCCACGGCTTCAACACCTGGGGAGATACACACACAACATGGTCAGTTATACACCTGATGGACATAATGTGCATGGTCAGTTTGAGGACTCTACATTGAGTACCATTATATTCAACGCGAGAAAAGGAGAGCGTGTCATTGTGTTGAGATTGAGAGGGATTACATGCCGATGCCATGCCTGTCTGTCTGTCTGTCTGTCTTGGCTTTAGCTCAGCAGGCTAACAAAATCATGGCATTACGTTGGTTTCACACACACACACACACACACACACACACACACACACACTACCTTGGTCTCATTCTACCAAATGGGAGAACAGCGCCGGAGAAGATGGCTGCCGTTTTACAGCCCTCTAACCAATTGTACTATTATGTGTGTTTTTCCGCGTTATTTGTAATTTATTTTGTACATAATGTTTCTGCCATCGTCTCTTATAACCAAAAAGAGCTTCTGGATATCAGGACAGCGATTACTCACCTCGTATTGGACGAAGATTTTTTCTTCAACGAGGCGGCCGCGAAGGATATCATACAGACACCCGAAAAGGCCCAAATCCCCGTCATTCGCGTGAGGAAGAGACGGAGATATCGTGGACGGAGATCGGGGTGCCTCGTAAGGATCCGACGGCGAGCGAGTAAACTGCCTCTTCCATCAATCCTATTAGCCAACGTTCAATCTTTTGAAAATAAAGTGGACGACTTAAGATTACGGTTATCCTACCAACGGGACATTAAAAACTGTAATATATTATGTTTCACCGAGTCGTGGCTGAACGACGACAATGATAACATTCAGCTAGCAGGCTATACGCTACATCGGCAGGACAGAACGGCTGACTCCGGTAAGACAAGGGGTGGCGGTCTGTGTATATTTGTAAACAACAGCTGGTGCACAAAATCAAATACTAAGGAAGTCTCGAGGTTTTGCTCGCCTGAGGTAGAGTATCTTATGATAAGCTGTAGACCACACTATTTACCAAGAGAGTTTTCATCTATATTTTTCATAGCTGTCTATTTACCACCACAAACCAATGCTGGCATTAAGATTGCACTGAATGAGTTGTACAAGGCCATTAATCAACAGGAAAACGCTCATCCAGATGCAGCGCTCCTAGTGGCCGGGGACTTTAATGCAGGGAAACTTAAATCCGTTCTACCTAATTTCTACCAGCATGTTAAATGTGCAACCAGAGGGAAAAAAACTCTAGACCACCTTTACTCCACACACAGAGACGCATACAAAGCTCTCCCTCGCCCTCCATTTGGCAAATCTGACCATAACTCTATCCTCCTGATTCCTGCTTATAAGCAAAAACTAAAGCAGGAAGCACCAGTGACTTGGTTAATAAAAAAGTGGTCAGATGACGCAGATGCTAAGCTACAGGACTGTTTTGCTAGCACAGACTGGAATATGTTCCGGGATTCTTCAGACAGCATTGAGGAGTACACCACATCAGTCACTGGCTTCATCAATAAGTGCATCGATGATGTCGTCCCCACAGTGACCGTACGTACATACCCCAACCAGAAGCCATGGATTACAGGAAACATCCGCACTGAGCTAAAGGATAGAGCTGCCGCTTTCAAGGAACGGGACTCTAACCCGGACGCTTATAAGAAATCCCGCTATGACCTCCGACGAACCATCAAACAGGCAAAGAGTCAATACAGGTCTAAGATTGAATCGTACTACACTGGCTCTGACGCTCGTCGGATGTGGCAGGGCTTGAAAACTATTACAGACTACAAAGGGAAGCACAGCCGCGAGCTGCCCAGTGACACAAGCCTACCAGACGAGCTAAACCACTTCTATGCTCGCTTCGAGGCAAGCAACACTGAAGCATGCATGAGAGCACCAGCTGTTCCGGATGACTATGTGATCACGCTCTCCGCAGCCGATGTGAGTAAGACTTTTAAGCAGGTCAACATTCACAAGGCCGCAGGGCCAGACGGATTACCAGGACGTGTACTCCGAGCATGTGCTGACCAACTGGCAAGTGTCTTCACTGACATTTTCAACATGTCCCTGACTGAGTCTGTAATACCAACATGTTTCAAGCAGACCACCATAGTCCCCGTGCCCAAGGACTCTAAGATAACCTGCCTAAATGACTACCGACCCGTAGCACTGACGTCTGTAGCCATGAAGTGCTTTGAAAGGCTGGTCATGGCTCACATCAACAGCATTATCCCAGAAACCCTAGACCCACTCCAATTTGCATACCGCCCCAACAGATCCACAGATGATGCAATCTCTATTGCACTCCACACTGCCCTTTCCCACCTGGACAAGAGGAACACCTACGTGAGAATGCTATTCATTGACTACAGCTCAGCATTCAACACCATAGTGCCCTCTAAGCTCATCACTAAGCTAAGGATCCTGGGACTAAACACCTCCCTCTGCAACTGGATCCTGGACTTCCTGACGGGCCGCCCCCAGGTGGTAAGGGTAGGTAACAACACATCTGCCACACTGATCCTCAACACGGGGGCCCCTCAGGGGTGCGTGCTCAGTCCCCTCCTGTACTCTCTGTTCACCCATGACTGCATGGCCAGGCACGACTCCAACACCATCATTAAGTTTGCCGACGACACAACAGTGGTAGGCCTGATCACCGACAACGATGAGACAGCCTATAGGGAGGAGGTCAGAGATCTGGCCGTGTGGTGCCAGGACAACAACCTCTCCCTCAACGTGACCAAGACAAAGGAGATGATTGTGGACTACAGGAAAAAAAAGAGGACTGAGCACGCCCCCATTCTCATCGACGGGGCTGTAGTGGAACAGGTTGAGAGCTTCAAGTTCCTTGGTGTCCACATCACCAACGAACTATCATGGTCCAAACACACCAAGATAGTCGTGAAGAGGGCACGACAAAGCCTATTCCCCCTCAGGAGACTAAAAAGATTTGGCATGGGTCCTCAGATCCTCAAAAAATTCTACAGCTGCACCATCGAGAGCATCCTGACTGGTTGCATCACCGCCTGGTATGGCAACTGCTTGGCCTCCGACCGCAAGGCACTACAGAGGGTAGTGCGTACGGCCCAGTACATCACTGGGGCAAAGCTTCCTGCCATCCAGGACCTCTATACCAGGCGGTGTCAGAGGAAGGCCCTCAAAATTGTCAAAGACTCCAGCCACCCTAGTCATAGACTGTTCTCTCTGCTACCGCACGGCAAGCGGTACCGGAGTGCCAAGTCTAGGTCCAAAAGACTTCTCAACAGCTTCTACCCCCAAGCCATAAGACTCCTGAACAGCTAATCATGGCTACCCGGATTATTTGCACTGCCCCCCCACCCCATCCTTTTTACGCTGCTGCCACTCTGTTAAGTATTTATGCATAGTCACTTTAACTCTACCCACATGTACATATTACCTCAACTACCCTCAACTAGCCGGTGCCCCGCACATTGACTCTGCAACGGTACCCCCCTGTATATATAGCCTCCCTACTGTCACTTTATTTTACTTCTGCTCTTGTTTTTCTCAACACTTTTTTTTGTTGTTGTTGTTTTATTTTTACTTTTTTTGTTTAAAATAAATGCACTGTTGGTTAAGGGCTGTAAGTAAGCATTTCACTGTAATGTCTGCACCTGTTGTATTCGGCGCATGTGACCAATAAAATTTGATTTGATTTGATTTGATTTGACATGTAGATTTTAGTTGTCTGTCTGTCTGTGTCAGTGTGGAAGAAGTAGCAACACAAAGCACCTTAACCCCACACAGACAGGTATTAAACCAGACAGACAGGTATTAACCCACACAGACAGGTATTAAACCAGACAGACAGGTATTAAACCAGACAGACAGGTATTAACCCACACAGACAGGTATTAAACCAGACAGACAGGTATTAACCCAGACAGACAGGTATTAACCCAGACAGACAGGTATTAAACCAGACAGACAGGTATTAAACCAGACAGACAGGTATTAAACCAGACAGACAGGTATTAACCCAGACAGACAGGTATTAACCCAGACAGACAGGTATTAACCCAGACAGACAGGTATTAATCGACACAGACAGGCATTGACACAGACAGGTTTTAACCTAGAAGGACAGGTATTAAACCAGAGAGACAGGTATTAACCCAGACAGACAGGTATTAAAGCAGACAGACAGTTATAGACAGACAGGTATTAAACCAGACAGACAGGTATTAAAGCAGACAGACAGTTATAGACAGACAGGTATTAAACCAGACAGACAGGTATTAAACCAGACAGACAGGTATTAAACCAGACAGACAGGTATTAAACCAGACAGACAGGTATTAACCCAGACAGACAGGTATTAAACCAGACAGACAGGTATTAACCCAGACAGACAGGTATTAAACCAGACAGACAGGTATTAAACCAGACAGACAGGTATTAAACCAGACAGACAGGTATTTATTCCAAGATGGCGTAGCAGTGTGGTCATGTTTTTTTCTGTGTCCTAGTAAATAGCCAGTTTCTTGGTTTTTGTCTATTTTGTATATATTTCTCAATTTTACTTTTCATTCTTTACCTAAATATACTTTCCTGCAATTCGCCTCACCCAACGTGTAAAGGATTCTATTATTTCTTTATAACTTTTATCAAGAACCTTAAGATGAAACTAGTCTATCTGCGTCTTCACCATTGTCCGTGGCCTGCACTACCCACCAGCCAGCTCTAGCTCTTGCCTGGACAATTAGTCGGCCAGTCTGCACAGCATGCTATCGACCCAGAGCATATCGGACTTTCTGCTGGAATCACTGGACCCTAGCGCCGGATCATCGCAACCAGCTAGCTGCAACCTGTTGTTGGCTTATTACCAATGCCCCTTAGCAAGCACAAGTTAGCCTTGAGCTAGCCTCAGGCCCATCTCCCGGCTATATACCTCTCAGTCAACCGGACGGGACCTCCTAGTGTTGACACTGAGTCCCGCCGATCCAACACGACTGGTTTGCCAACGAAATCATCTGATGTGGTTTCAACAGGCTTCCCGTTGCGACGACCACGAAGATCCATCTGCTAGCCCCGGCCCGCTAGCACACGCAAACTACAACTGTGCTTCCTGCTCGCTGTGCTGAAGCACCAATTTGAACTGCTCTCGGACTCACATATTGCTGTTCACTGAACCTTATGATCACTCAGCTGCACAGCTGATGCCTGCTGGACTGTTCCTTTACACGGTACCCTGTCCTGTTTATTCTGTTTAGCCTCAGCCCAAACTTTATCGCCATTACCAGTTGTTGTCTTAGCTCTCTCTAATAACACCTGTGACTGCTTTATGCCTCTCTCCCATGTCAATATGCCTAGCCTATTGCTGTTTGGGTTAGTTCTTATTATACAATTTCACTGTAGAACCCCAAGTCCCTCTCAAACTGCCTCAAATAGTTCCTTTGTTCCATACACGCCGAGACCGGCTCAATCGGTGCCTCCAGTGATGCTATCTCTTTCATTGTTACCCAACGCTTAGGTTTACCTCAACTGTACTCATATCCTTCCATATCCTTTTCTGTACATAATGCCCTGAATCTTTTCTACAACGCCCGGAAATCTGCCCCCTTTATTCTCTGTACCCAACGCACTAGAAGACCAGTTCTTAAAGCCTTTAGTCGTATCCTTATTCTAGTCCTCCTCTGTTCCTCTGGTGATGTAGAGGCTAACCCAGGCCCTGCAGCCCCCAGTATCACTCCTACTCCCCAGGAGCTATCATTTGTTGACTTCTGTAACCGTAAAAGCCTTGGTTTTCTGCACGTTAATATCAGAAGCCTCCTTCCTAAGTTTGAGTTATTCACTGCGTTAACACACTCCGCCAACCCTGATATTCTAGCAGTGTCTGAATCCTGGCATAGGAAGGCCACCAAAAATTCTGAAATTTCCATCCCCAACTATAACATTTTCTGTCTAGATAGAACTGCCAAAGGGGGTGGAGTTGCAATCTACTGTAGAGATAGCCTGCAGAGCTCTATCATACTATCCAGGTCTGTGCCCAAACAGTTTGAGCTTCTACTTCTAAAAATCCACCTTTCCAGAAATAAGTCTCTCACTGTTGCCGCTTGCTACAGACCCCCTCAGCCCCCAGCTGTGCCCCTGGACACCCATATGTGAATTGATTGCCCCCCCATTTATCCTCAGAGTTCGTACTGCTTGGTGACCTAAATTGGGATATGCTTAACACCCCGGCCATCCTACAATCCAAACTAGATGCCCTCAATCTCACACAAATTATCAAGGAACCTACCAGGAACAACCCTAAATCCGTAAACATGGGCACCCTCATAGATATCATCCTGACTAACTTACCCTCTAAATACACCTCTGCTGTCTTCAACCAGGATCTCAGCGATCACTGCCTTATTGCCTGCGTCCGTAACGGGTCCGCGGTCAAACGACCACCCCTCATCACTGTCAAACGCTCCCTAAAACACTTCAGCGAGCAGGCCTTCCTAATTGACCTGGCCCAGGTATCCTGGATGGATATTGACCTCATTCCGTCAGTAGAGGATGCCTGGTTGTTCTTCAAAAGTAATTTCCTCTCAATCTTAAATAAACATGCCCCTTTAAAAAAATACAGAACTAAGAACAGATATAGCCCCTGGTTCTCCTCAGACTTGACTGCCCCTTGACCAGCACAAAAACATCCTGTGCTGTACTGCATCAAATAGCCCCCGCGATATGCAACTTTTCAGGGAGTTAGGAACGAATATACACAAGCAGTTAGGAAAGCAAAGGCTAACTTTTTCAAACAGAAATGTGCATCCTGTAGCACTAACTCCAAAAAGTTTTGGGACACTGTAAAGTCCATGGAGAATAAGAGCACTTCCTCCCAGCTGCCCATCGAGAATTTCAAACAAGCATTTTTGCTACGGCTGGCCATGCTTTCCACCTGGCTACCACTACCCCGGCCACCAGCTCTGCACCCTCTGCTGCAACTTGCCCATGCCCCCCCCCCCCCGCTTCTCTCCTTCACACAAATTCAGATAGCTGATGTTCTGAAAGAGCTGAAAAATCTGGACCCCTACAAATCATCTGGGCTAGACAATCTGGATCCTTTCTTTCTAAAACTAGCCGCCGAAATTGTCGCAACCCCTATTACTAGCCTGTTAACCTCTCTTTCGTCACGTCTGAGATCCCCAGAGATTGGAAAGCTGCCGCGGTCATCCCCCTCTTCAAAGGGAATGACACTCTAGATCCAAACTGTTACAGACCTATATCCATCCTGCCCTGCCTTTCGAAAGTTTTTGAAAGCCAAGTTAACAAACAGATCACCGACCATTTCGAATCCCACCGTACCTTCTCGGTTTCCGAGCTGGTCATGGGTGCACTTCAGCCACGCTCAAGGTCCTAAACGATATTATAACCGCGATCGATAATAGACAGTACTGTGCAGCCGTCTTCATCGACCTGGCCAAGGCTTTCGACTCTGTCAACCACCGCATTCTTATTGGCAGACTAAATAGCCTTGGTTTCTCAAATGACTGCCTCGCCTGGTTCACCAACTACTTCTCAGATAGAGTTCAATGTGTCAAATCGTAGGGCCTGTTGTCTGGACCTATGGCAGTCTCTATGGGGGTGCCACAGGGTTCAATTCTTGGGGCGACTCTTTTCTCCGTGTATATCAATGATGTCGCTCTTGCTGCTGGTGACTCTCAGATCCACCTCTACGCAGACGACACCATTTTGTATACATCTGGCCCTTCATTGGACACTGTGTTAACAAACCTCCAAACGAGCTTCAATGCCATACAACACTCCTTCAGTAGCCTCCAACTGCTCTTAAACACTAGTAAAACTAAATGCATGCTCTTCAATCGAACGCTGCTGGCACTCGCCCACCCGACTAGAATCACTACTCTCGACGGGTCTGACCTAGAGTATGTGGACAACTACAAATATCTAGGTGTCTGGTTAGACTGTAAACTCTCCTTCCAGACTCACATTAAGAATCTCCAATCCAAAGTTAAATCTAGAATCGGTTTCCTATTTCGCAACAAAGCCTCCTTCACTCATGCTGCCAAACATGCCCTCGTAAAACTGACAATCCTACCGATCCTTGACTTCGGCGATGTCATTTACAAAATAGCCTCCAACACTCTACTCAGCAAATTGGATGTAGTCTATCACAGTGCCATCCGTTTTGTCTCCAAAGCCCCATACACTACCCACCACTGTGACCTGTACGCTCTTGTTGGCTGGTCCTCACTACATATTCGTCGCCAAACCCACTGGCTCCAGGCCATCTATAAATCACTGCTAGGCAAATCCTCGCCTTATCTTAGCTCATTGGTCACCATAGCAGCACCCACCCGTAGTATGCGCTCCAGCAGGTATATCTCACTGGTCATCCCCAAAGCCAACACCTCCTTTGGCCGCCATTCCTTCCAGTTCTCTGCTGCCAATGACTGGAACCAATTGCAAAAATCTCTGAAGCTGGAGACTCTTATCTCCCTCACTAACTTTAAGCATCAGTTGTCAGAGCGCCTTACCGATCACTGCACCTGTACACAGCCCATCTGAAATTAGCCCGCCCAACTACCTCATCCCTATATTGTTATTTATTTTGCTAATTTGCACCCCAGTATCTCTATTTGCACATCATCTCTTGCACATTAATACTAATTGTAATTATTTTGCACTATAGCCTATTTATTGCCTAACCTCCATAACTTGCTACATTTGCACACATTGTATATAGATTTTCTGTTGTATTTTTGACTTTATGTTTTGTTTACCCCATATGTAACTCTGTGTTGTTGTTTTTATCGCACTGCTTTGCTTTATCTTGGCCAGGTCGCAGTTGGAAATGAGAACTTGTTCTCAACTGGCTTACCTGGTTAAATAAAGGTGAAATAAAAATAAATAAATAAAATAAATAAAGGTATAGACAGGTATTAAACCAGACAGACGGGTATAGACAGACAGGTATAGACAGACAGGTATAGACAGACAGGTATAGACAGACAGGTATAGACAGACAGGTATAGACAGACAGGTATAGACAGACGGGTATAGACAGACGGGTATAGACAGACGGGTATTAAACCAGACAGACAGGTATAGACAGACAGGTATAGACAGACAGGTATAGACTGACAGGTATAGACAGACAGGTATAGACTGACAGGTATAGACAGACAGGTATAGACAGACAGGTATAGACAGACAGGTATAGACAGACAGGTATAGACTGACAGGTATAGACAGACAGGTATAGACTGACAGGTATAGACTGACAGGTATAGACAGACAGGTATAGACAGACAGGTATTAAACCAGACAGACAGGTATAGACAGACAGGTATAGACTGACAGGTATAGACAGACAGGTATAGACAGACAGGTATAGACAGACAGGTATAGACTGACAGGTATAGACAGGCAGGTATAGACAGACAGGTATAGACTGACAGGTATAGACAGACAGGTATAGACAGACAGGTATAGACAGACAGGTATTAAACAGACAGACCAGGTATAGACAGACAGGTATAGACAGACAGGTATAGACAGACAGGTATAGACACAGTATAGACAGACAGGTATAGACAGGCAGGTATAGACAGACAGGTATAGACTGACAGGTATAGACAGACAGGTATAGACAGACAGGTATAGACAGACAGGTATAGACTGACAGGTATAGACAGACAGGTATTAAACCAGACAGACGGGTATAGACAGACAGGTATAGACAGACAGGTATAGACAGACAGGTATAGACAGACAGGTATTAAACCAGACAGACGGGTATAGACAGACAGGTATAGACAGACAGGTATAGACAGACAGGTATAGACAGACAGGTATAGACAGACAGGTATAGACAGACAGGTATAGACAGACAGGTATTAAACCAGACAGACGGGTATAGACAGACAGGTATAGACAGACAGGTATAGACAGACAGGTATAGACTGACAGGTATAGACAGACAGGTATAGACAGACAGGTATAGACAGACAGGTATAGACAGACAGGTATAGACAGACAGGTATTAAACCAGACAGACAGGTATAGACTGACAGGTATAGACTGACAGGTATAGACAGACGGGTATAGACAGACAGGTATAGACAGACAGGTATAGACAGACAGGTATAGACAGACAGGTATTAAACCAGACAGACGGGTATAGACAGACAGGTATAGACAGACAGGTATAGACAGACAGGTATAGACTGACAGGTATAGACAGACAGGTATAGACAGACAGGTATAGACAGACAGGTATAGACAGACAGGTATAGACAGACAGGTATAGACTGACAGGTATAGACAGACAGGTATAGACAGACAGGTATAGACTGACAGGTATAGACAGACAGGTATAGACAGACAGGTATAGACAGACAGGTATAGACAGACAGGTATAGACAGACAGGTATAGACTGACAGGTATAGACAGACAGGTATAGACTGACAGGTATAGACTGACAGGTATAGACTGACAGGTATAGACAGGTATTAAACCAGACAGACAGGTATAGACAGACAGGTATAGACAGACAGGTATAGACTGACAGGTATAGACAGACAGGTATAGACAGACAGGTATAGACAGACAGGTATAGACTGACAGGTATAGACAGGTATTAAACCAGACAGACAGGTATAGACAGACAGGTATAGACAGACAGGTATAGACAGACAGGTATAGACAGACAGGTATAGACTGACAGGTATAGACTGACAGGTATAGACTGACAGGTATAGACAGACAGGTATAGACAGACAGGTATAGACAGACAGGTATAGACAGACAGGTATAGACTGACAGGTATAGACAGACAGGTATAGACAGACAGGTATAGACAGGGTAAGACTGAGACATGCGCCATTAACTGTCACTTTAAACCAAACCATCTCAGCTGGCATGGCTTCCTCTGTTCCACCCATTCATTATCTATGCATGGCTTCCTCTGTTCCACCCAGACATTATCTATGCATGGCTTCCTCTGTTCCACCCAGACATTATCTATGCATGGCTTCCTCTGTTCCACCCATTCATTATCTATGCATGGCTTCCTCTGTTCCACCCATTCATTATCTATGCATGGCTTCCTCTGTTCCACCCATTCATTATCTATGCATGGCTTCCTCTGTTCCACCCAGACATTATCTATGCATGGCTTCCTCTGTTCCACCCATTCATTATCTATGCATGGCTTCCTCTGTTCCACCCATTCATTATCTATGCATGGCTTCCTCTGTTCCACCCATTCATTATCTATGCATGGCTTCCTCTGTTCCACCCATTCATTATCTATGCATGGCTTCCTCTGTTCCACCCATTCATTATCTATGCATGGCTTCCTCTGTTCCACCCATTCATTATCTATGCATGGCTTCCTCTGTTCCACCCATTCATTATCTATGCATGGCTTCCTCTGTTCCACCCATTCATTATCTATGCATGGCTTCCTCTGTTCCACCCATTCATTATCTATGCATGGCTTCCTCTGTTCCACCCATTCATTATCTATGCATGGCTTCCTCTGTTCCACCCATTCATTATCTATGCATGGCTTCCTCTGTTCCACCCATTCATTATCTATGCATGGCTTCCTCTGTTCCACCCATTCATTATCTATGCATGTAAAACACATACAAACATACCACATACTCTTACTGAACTATCTCAAGTTTGTAGAACTGTGATCAGGCCTTCTACCCAGAGTTCATAATAAAGACTTCTGTTAGCTCAGCAGGCTAACACAGTCATGGCATTACCTTGGTCTCATTCTCCATGTAGATCTTAGCGGCAAGGCCGAACATCACCAGGTCTACTTTAACAGGGTCCTGGTCACCAGGCAGCAGGTTGTACTCTATATGGTAGTAGGTCTGGGCTTTAGGGGCCACCACGCCACTGGACAGAACACGTTTGGGCTTCTCCACTAAGACCACCGGCCCAGCTACAGGACAGGGTTCTTCACCTATAGTAAAACAGGGAAGACAATTAAACACAAGACAATGATATATATGTTTCTCACCTACAGGACAACAGGGGACATAATTACATAGAATACAACAATATTAATCTTTATGGGATAGGGGACAGATAGTGGACAGATATGGGTGATGTATCTCTATGGGACAGGAGACAGATAGGGGACAGATAGAGGACAGTTAGGGGTGATGTATCTCTATGGGATAGGAGACAGATAGGGGACAGATAGGGAACAGATAGGGGTGATATATCTCTATGGGACAGGAGACAGATAGGGGACAGATAGAGGACAGTTAGGGGTGATGTATCTCTATGGGACAGGAGACAGATAGGGGACAGATAGAGGACAGTTAGGGGTGATGTATCTCTATGGGACAGGAGACAGATAGTGGACAGATAGAGGACAGTTAGGGGTGATGTATCTCTATGGGACAGGGGACAGATAGTGGACAGATAGAGGACAGTTAGGGGTGATGTATCTCTATGGGACAGGAGACAGATAGTGGACAGATAGGGAACAGATAGGGGTGATATATCTCTATGGGATAGGAGACAGATAGGGGACAGATAGGGGACAGTTAGGGGTGATGTATCTCTATGGGACAGGAGACAGATAGTGGACAGATAGGGAACAGATAGGGGTGATATATCTCTATGGGATAGGAGACAGATAGGGGACAGATAGGGGACAGTTAGGGGTGATGTATCTCTATGGGACAGGAGACAGATAGGGGACAGATAGAGGACAGATAGAGGACAGATAGGGGACAGATAGGGAACAGATAGAGGACAGATAGAGGACAGATAGAGGACAGATAGGGAACAGATAGGGGTGATATATCTCTATGGGATAGGAGACAGATAGGGGACAGATAGAGGACAGTTAGGGGTGATGTATCTCTATGGGACAGGAGACAGATAGGGGACAGATAGGGGACAGTTAGGGGTGATGTATCTCTATGGGACAGGAGACAGATAGGGGACAGATAGAGGACAGTTAGGGGTGATGTATCTCTATGGGACAGGAGACAGATAGGGGACAGATAGTGGACAGATAGTGGTGATGTATCTCTATGGGACAGGAGACAGATAGGGGACAGATAGAGGACAGTTAGGGGTGATGTATCTCTATGGGACAGGAGACAGATAGGGGACAGATAGAGGACAGTTAGGGGTGATGTATCTCTATGGGATAGGAGACAGATAGGGGACAGATAGGGAACAGATAGGGGTGATGTATCTCTATGGGATAGGAGACAGAAAGGGGACAGATAGAGGACAGTTAGGGGTGATGTATCTCTATGGGACAGGAGACAGATAGTGGACAGATAGAGGACAGTTAGGGGTGATGTATCTCTATGGGACAGGAGACAGATAGGGGACAGATAGAGGACAGTTAGTGGTGATGTATCTCTATGGGACAGGAGACAGATAGTGGACAGATAGAGGACAGTTAGTGGTGATGTATCTCTATGGGACAGGAGACAGATAGTGGTGATGCCAAGGACTGGTTATCTTGTGTGTCTACTGTGGTAGTATGGCATTCTATAAACAAGTAACATTCATTTTCTCTCTGTTTTCTAAAAAAGTATATTTGTGCATTCAAACACAGTGCAATTCTGTTGTATGCCAATTTATTTGTGCATGCTACTGTATTTTGTGTGGTATTGACATTTATATTTGTAATGTGCTCGTTTTAGCCTGTTATAATATGTATAGTCACAACATATAACCTACGGTAGTGTACCTTTGGGAATGGCTATAACGATGCTGACAGTCCATTTGACGACATGGGAGCCATCTTTGCTGTTTGTACTGGTCAGGTCATCGGGCATGTCTTTGCTGTCTGTCGTGATGATGACATCGACAGGTGAGCTGGACTCCGAGTATGACCTGTCCTGGTCTCTATGTCCTTGTCCCCCTGGGGACATGTCCTCCCTGTCCCTGTCTCTCCCACACCCTTCTGTCTCTGTGTCCTCCCCCAAGTCAGAGTCTGGTGGAGAGGGACAGGGTAGAGAGCTCTTGGAGTCTGGTTTCTCACACAGCGATCTGGACTCCATGGTTCAGTCACAGCTAGTTCTGGTTAGTAGACAATGTAACGTTACTGACTGAATAACAGGCCTGCCAAGGGAACAAACATTGTTATTTCTAACTTCGTCATTGCAGCAAAACAAAGTAAATGTTAATTTTTTGATTCTTTAAAAAACTAAATGCCATGCCCTACACTCCTAGCAACACTGGGTAAAAGCTACACAAACGCACACCTTTCTGCAATGCCCAACAATAAATGTTACATCTCTACATTATTATGCAACTTTTAAAATCCTAATTCACAATGCAACAAGCCTACCGTTTACTGTCCCGCTTGGCTGTGTAGGTTGGTGATCCTACCGGTCCTTCAGGCACATAATTATCACATCATCTGAGTAAAATGACATGTCAACTTTTCTGTGAATCACCTTCCTGCTTACCGCTGCACGAAATAGTCCTTAACTCTTTGGTAGGCTGGAGGTGCAGTTCGGCAGCTATTTCAGTTTGTGTCCCTTAAATATTTTACCAATATCATCGCTGATACATGGTATATAGCCTTATTCTTTTCAGAATTAAGTAGAATCACGGTTTCAATTTTGGCGGAATAATATCAGATGCGGTAAAATGTCACATGAAGTGTATACGTCGCCTTGGCAACTAATGTTGCGACAACAAGATGATGACGTTACAATCGCGCGTGTCACAAGTTGTTTGTAACAATGTAGCAATGAGTGAAAGTTACATTGTGACATCATAATACATGGTGGCAAATTGATCATATTTATCACAATGGGCAAACTGATACTTTGAAATCCCGAGCAGAGGGAAGAATTAAGCACTGCTCTTATCTTGATGATTATGAACTAGATAAAATATTGTAGGCTGTTCTGATACTTAAACAAACAGTGTTTTCATAAAAAATACAAACAACCTACCCAATATTACATTACCCCTATAAACTGTTAATTGTCATTATTTTTAGCAAACTTTTTTTTTTACCTGTTTGAAATTATTATAGAAAAATCTTAAAATCATTCAAGATTCATTTGTTTTGTGCATGAATACTAGCTAAGATTTTTCAAACCATTACCCCCCCATGGACTCAATTAAAGAACAACAAAGCCTTATTGATATCTGTTGGTCGACCAGACATCAGTCCTAACTGCTAACAGCAGCTGATTGGTTTAAACCAAATTGTTTGAAATAGGCTACATGTCAGGACCGTTATTATCAGGTTGCAATATGATATTACTATATGATATTACTATATGATATTACTATATGATATTACTATATGATATTACTATATGATATTACTATATGATATTACTATATGATATTACTATATGATATTACTATATGATATTACTATATGATATTACTATATGATATTACTATATGATATTACTATATGATATTACTATATGATATTACTATATGATATTACTATACTACATATTATGATATTACACCTTCTATTCTATTCTATTATATCCCATTATTTTATTTTATTTTATTTTCCTTTCTATTCTATCAACTATGATATGTTCTACTCTTACTGCAGTATACTGTAATGCAGGCTGGCCTGCGTTAGAAAAATGTGAACGTGAAAAACATACATTTTCTTTCTCGAGGAAACCATTTCAAATGTTGCCCCGGTTTATAGGTTTTGCTGGCCTGAGCCAAAACTCGCTTCAAAGAAACGCCCCGTGCACACAGAGAGCTCCTCTGCCCCGTGCACACAGAGAGCTCCTCTGCCCCGTGCACACAGAGAGCTCCTCTGCCCCGTGCACACAGAGAGCTCCTCTGCCCCGTGCACACAGAGAGCTCCTCTGCCCCGTGCACACAGAGAGCTCCTCTGCCCCATGCACACAGAGAGCTCCTCTGCCCCGTGCACACAGAGAGCTCCTCTGCCCCGTGCACACAGAGAGCTCATCTGCCCCGTGCACACAGAGAGCTCATCTGCCCCGTGCACACAGAGAGCACCTCTGCAGATATAAACTTTTATTCAGTCACAGAGAAGAGAACATGGACACAGGATGCTACAACATGCATGAGAGAGAGAGCCGGGGATCGTGGCAGAACTCAGATAGACATTCGCCGGGCTGTCGGCAGTTGCGCGCCTCCTGCACCCGGGAGTGTTACGAGGAGATTGTGGATCTGGAGGAAGAAGAGGAAAGGATAACTAAACTACAAGATGAGAATCCCATCTGAGGGAGCTGGTGGAGGACATGAGGACGGCTCTACAGAGCAGTGATGCTGGTGGAGGACATGAGGACGGCTCTACAGAGCAGTGATGCTGGTGGAGGACATGAAGACAGCTCTACAGAGCAGTGATGCTGGTGGAGGACATGAGGACGGCTCTACAGAGCAGTGATGCTGGTGGAGGACATGAAGACAGCTCTACAGAGCAGTGATGCTGGTGGAGGACATGAGGACGGCTCTACAGAGCAGTGATGCTGGTGGAGGACATGAGGACGGCTCTACAGAGCAGTGATGCTGGTGGAGGACATGAGGACGGCTCTACAGAGCAGTGATGCTGGTGGAGGACATGAGGACGGCTCTACAGAGCAGTGATGCTGGTGGAGGACATGAGGACGGCTCTACAGAGCAGTGATTGCTGGTGGAGGACATGAGGACGGCTCTACAGAGCAGTGATGCTGGTGGAGGACATGAGGACGGCTCTACAGAGCAGTGATGCTGGTGGAGGACATGAGGACGGCTCTACAGAGCAGTGATGCTGGTGGAGGACATGAGGACGGCTCTACAGAGCAGTGATGCTGGTGGAGGACATGAGGACCGGCTCTACAGAGCAGTGATGCTGGTGGAGGACATGAGGACGGCTCTACAGAGCAGTGATGCTGGTGGAGGACATGAGGACGGCTCTACAGAGCAGTGATGCTGGTGGAGGACATGAGGACGGCTCTACAGAGCAGTGATGCTGGTGGAGGACATGAGGACGGCTCTACAGAGCAGTGATGCTGGTGGAGGACATGAGGACGGCTCTACAGAGCAGTGATGCTGGTGGAGGACATGAGGACGGCTCTACAGAGCAGTGATGCTGGTGGAGGACATGAGGACGGCTCTACAGAGCAGTGATGCTGGTGGGGGACATGAGGACGGCTCTACAGAGCAGTGATGCTGGTGGAGGACATGAGGACGGCTCTACAGAGCAGTGATGCTGGTGGGAGGACATGAGGACGGCTCTACAGAGCAGTGATGCTGGTGGGAGTACATGAGGACGGCTCTACAGAGCAGTGATGCCTGGTGGGGGACATGAGGACGGCTCTACAGAGCAGTGATGCTGGTGGAGGACATGAGGACGGCTCTACAGAGCAGTGATGCTGGTGGAGGACATGAGGACGGCTCTACAGAGCAGTGATGCTGGTGGAGGACATGAGGACGGCTCTACAGAGCAGTGATGCTGGTGGAGGACATGAGGACGGCTCTACAGAGCAGTGATGCTGGTGGAGGACATGAGGTCGTCCTACGACGGACTGGTGAGACTGAGGACGCTCTACAGAGCAGTGATGCTGGTGGGCATGAGACGTCAATAGCCAGTGACCTGTGAGGACCCTAGGACGCTCTACGACTCTTGGGGGACATAGGACGGCCTCAAGCAGTACCTGTGGAGGACATGAGGACGCCCAGACCTATCTTGAGGACAATACGTCTCTACAGACAGTGCCTGTGACATGAGGACGCTCTACAAGCCAGTATGCTTGATGGACGCCTAGCAGTATGCTGTGAGGACCCATGAGCAGACCTCTACCAAGCAGTGATCTGTGAGGACCATGCAGTACCTCTAGGACCAATGAGACTCTGAGGACCAAAGCAGTACTCTGAGGACCTCTAAAGCCAGTGATCCTTGAGGACATAGAGACGGCCTCTAAGACAATGAGTCTTGAGGACAATGAGACTCGAGCCAAGAGCAGTTGACGGGGACCGGACTGAGGACGGCTCAGTACCGCATGAGACTAGCTGCTGAGGACATAGCCGGTCTACCAGAGCAGTGATGCTGGTGGAGGAGTGCAGAGGTGAGCTATGGTGCAAGGACTGGCTCAACAGAGCAGTGATGCTGGTGAGGACATGAGGACGGCTCTACAGAGCAGTGATGCTGGTGGAGGACATGAGGTCAGTACCACCTGAGGACCAATAGCCAGTACCACCTGAGGACCAATAGCCAGTACCCTCTGAGGACCAATAGCCAGTACCCTCTGAGGACCAATAGCCAGTACCACCTGAGGACCAATAGCCAGTACCCTCTGAGGACCAACAGCCAGTACCACCTGAGGACCAATAGCCAGTACCCTCTGAGGACCAATAGCCAGTACCCTCTGAGGACCAATAGCCAGTACCCTCTGATAACCAATAGCCAGTACCCTCTGAGGACCAATAGCCAGTACCCTCTGAGGACCAATAGCCAGTACCACCTGAGGACCAATAGCCAGTACCCTCTGATGACCAATAGCCAGTACCCTCTGAGGACCAATAGCCAGTACCCTCTGAGGACCAATAGCCAGTACCCTCTGAGGACCAATAGCCAGTACCCTCTGAGGACCAATAGCCAGTACCCTCTGAGGACCAATAGCCAGTACCCTCTGAGGACCAATAGCCAGTACCCTCTGAGGACCAATAGCCAGTACCCTCTGAGGACCAATAGCCAGTACCCTCTGAGGACCAATAGCCAGTACCCTAGCCTGCGGAGGCCATGCTGTTTAATCAAAAGCTGGAGCAGGAGCTATGGTCGTCGCAGGAGGTGGTATCAGCTTCTCAGGGGTGTAACAGGGCGCTGCGGGCGGAGCAGGAGGTGGTATCAGCTTCTCAGGGTGTAACAGGGCGCTGCGGGGGAGCAGGAGGTGGATCAGCTTACCTCAGGTGGTGTCAACAGGGCGCTGCGGGCGGAGCAGGAGGTGGTATCAGCTTCTCAGGGGTGTAACAGGGCGCTGCGGGCGGAGCAGGAGGTGGTATCAGCTTCTCAGGGGTGTAACAGGGCGCTGCGGGCGGAGCAGGAGGTGGTATCAGCTTC